GGGAATTCTGGGAGTTGAAGTCCACACATGCTGGCTGGGGAATTCTGGGAGTTGAAGTCCACACATGCTGGCTGGGGAATTCTGGGAGGTGAAGTCCACACATCTTAGAGTGGCCAAGTTTGAAAAACATTGCATTAGCACTACAATTTCACTCATTTTTTTCTTCCCCCATTACAACCCATCAGTATTCCGCATAATATTTGAAAATCTTGCCCACCTGGGCTGGTCTTTCCTATTTCTCCACTAAGATTACTCCCCCCCCCCCCTTAAAGAATGATGGATTGAGTCTGCAAATCTTCACTTTTTCCCAAACAGCTCTTGCTGGTGGATGACTCTCTTTTGGGTGGGTAAACAGTGGTATTCAGAGCACTGGAATTAGAAAGAATTATTAACTTGAAATGGCACAGTTTCTGCAAACATCTCTACCCCCTCCAAGAATGTGTCATCTGACAAGTGAGGTTCTAGTTGGGGTAAAGGAGAGAGGAAAATATTTATAGAGGATAAAAGAAAGGATTCTACCCTACCACAAATATTCCCCCATTTTTCTCTTGTTGGAAATATATCATCTGACAAATGGGTTAATAATCATAGGTAATGAAACAGTGTAAGCCTTTCCAGGGGACAAAATAGGAACAATTTGGCAGCACAAGCATACAGTAATAGCATCCTGGAATATGTGATTTATTTTCATTTTTATTAAAAACTAGAAACATGCTTTTTTTTAAATTAAAAAAATATAATCTGGCTTAAGAGAACCCTGTCTATCCAATGGCTGAATTCTAAATGCATCCATGACCTTGATCAGATGCATAAGTTAGAGGTGGAAGATTTTTCACAGTAGACCACAACAAAAAAGCACGTGCTCATTTAAGTGGGAAAAATTGTTACCCTCTATAGCTTGCTCATTTTGGATGACTGCCATCATGGAGAAAATAAATGATTCCATATCAAAGGGAGAGTCAAGATATGTTTGTGCTAAGATCTGGCATGCTTAACTATGGCTAGCTGAATAAGCCACGTCAGGTGGATTCATAAACCATAAACTACAATTTACAAACCACATTCTAATCTATAATATATTTTGTTTGGGTTTGGCTCAGTAGGTCATGGAGCATTTAACTAAGTGGTAACTAATCTGTGTTCAGTGATTTTGCGGTCCACAAGTTGTATTAATGGGTAATGCTGAAACAGATATGAGGGGAGACATAAATATTCCATGCTCAACTCTATAATCTGGATATCCATTTCAGGAGAACATGGTGTTACAGCCAACAGATTCCGTGTTGTACTGAATTTCAAATACTCTCTTTGGGACTTGTTCGTCAAGGCAGACAGATGGCAGGGCAGGATTTGTACTAGATCAGCAAGTAGATTATAAAATAATTAAATGGTTCATTAGTTAAATAACAGTAATAAGTTCTTCTACAACCTTGACATTCTCTCTTGTAAATTATGCATGGATGGGTTATGAGATGCAGATTTCTTAATGAGTCTTCTTGCAGCAATGCAGGCCAGTTATAGACTGGGTTTACAGATTGCAGTAAGACATAATTTGTTTAATCATGATTTACTGGCTATGTTCACACAATCTGCTAAGCCATTAAATATCATGAGCAAATACATAACCCAGGTTAACCATGCACCATTCTGTAGTCATTTAACAGACTATGCCCAAACAAACAATAACCCTACATGATGACTTAAGGTGAGAAGCCATCAAAAACCAGCAAAGAAAATGCCTAGCTTTTTCACTATCTGCTGGACCACAAATAACCCAACCCCACATTTGCCTAGGTACTTATTGTCAAGGCCATAGTTTTCCCCATTGCAACATATGGCTGTGAAAGCTGGGCCATCAGAAAAGCTGAATGAAGAAAACGGGATGCCTTTGAATTGTGATGTTAGAGAAAATAGTTGATTTGTTATTGGCCAAAAAGAACAAATAACTCAATACTAATGAAATAAAACCAAACTGCTTGCTGGAAACCCTACTAATGAAGCTAAAGCTTAAATATTTTTGACACCTTACGGGAAACTGAGAGTCACTGAAGAAGACCCCAATGCTTGGAAAAATTGCAGGCACTTGAAAAAGAGGTCAGCAGAAGACACTAATACCACCAGCCTGAGCTTATAAGATCTCAGAGACAATTATGGACGGACAATCCTGGGGAAATGAGGTTCCTCAAGCCATGGAAATTCAGAAGTAGCTGAATAATGGAACAACAAAAAGGCAAGATGTGATTCCATCCAAGTAGTTACCTCAAAGGTAGACGAGTGGATTGGAGTAGCTATCACCTTACCGGCTATGCCTCCAATAGTGAGGGCCTCCGGGATTCCAAAAAACTGAAGTCCACCCCCTCTATTATATTTCATCTGGATTTTATCGTGGCTCACCTGAGGCTCTTTTCCTGCAGATTCTCTCTGATGGACTCTGTGATCAGAGTGAGGTTGCTTCTTCTGTGTATCTGTGCTAAAGAAAAGACTGCTTAGCTTCTGCAGGGAGGCCTCCAGCTCTTCCTCTGTATACTCAAGAGCTCTTCCAGCGCTGCTGATAAACTGACTAGTTGAGGTTGAGGGGCTCTGACCATCTGTCTTCTTCTTGATCTCATCTTCTGGCTTCTGCTTCATCAAAATAAATATAAGGACAAACAAAACCATGCACAGGTAGACAACCCAGATCTCCTCCATTTCAGTAGATGCAGGAACCTAAATTCAGTCAGAACTTTAAATATTGCCACACTAAATAGCAAAGTGGTGCTGGGTTCAGCAAGTTTTCACTATCCTTTAGTACAAGGAAAAACTTACTCCAATGAAGAGCACAAATACGTCCGTTCCAGCTAAGTAACTAATATTTTGGGAAGCTGAAGTTAGAACTTCCTTGCTTAAAGAACTTTCATCCACCTTAAATGTTCTTCAGAAGCAAACATCAAATGTAAGCAAAACTGAACCTTGATCATATGGAAGATGTTACAGAAGAACTCCCTTTTTCTTAGATTCTGAGCAGATGTTTTGTTAAAGAATTAAAGAAACTTCCTTGTTTCCATGTTCTCATAATGCCAGTTTGCCCTTGTTGCTTCCTTGCTGATGGTGATAGCTAGATGATTCTTCAGACCAGTGGAGATCACTTTTCCAGCCAAAAATATCAATCAGATTCAGGAATGGTTCTCACAATTGTCCAGTGCTCCTTTTATATTTCAAATATGCAAGTACTACAATGTTTAAGTAGTCTTGTATTTTATTTTTAAAATCCAAGATGGTAAGTACGGGTTCTGGACTTCTAATAATTAAATGTGGTCAGTTCCAGGATATTTTAATTTACTTCAAATGATTTGTAAATCAACCAACCCTTATTCAAAAATGTTTTAAAAAATCTGCAGAGTTGAACATTTAAGCAAGAACTACTTTTAAAAATTATTTGCCAGGATAGAAGATCCAGCCTTTTGAGTTGTAAGCACAATCAGTAATTAGAAAATGCAAATCTCCAAATCTCTTCAATTTATCTCCAAAGATCTTTGATCATCAGAAAATGGATGTTAGTCTTATCATGCTTTCTATGGCTATTGAAGTCAAGCTTTCTCTCCTAGCACACCCTCTTTTCAGACCCATCCACCTAGCTATTCCATATGACTCAATAGTCAATGGGCCAATTAAAATTTAGCACCCACCCCCATCTTTAACCAATCCTGGAAGAGGGTCACTGCATATCATTCATCATTGCAAAGATGGGCTGAAGGGCCAGTCTGGAGTTAGAGAGCCAAAAAAGTGAATGGAGAAGGATTGGCTGGTAGAGCTGAACCTTCTAAGCCAAACCTGAAAGCCATTACAAGACATATCTGAGTTCCTGCCAGGGGTTTTTTGTTACAGCAGAGAGAATGCCAGAGCTAGAAGGGGGACAGGTGGTATCAAGACACCTCCTATATTTTCTACTTTATTCTTGACTTGCTGACTGCTCAGTTACAGCTTTTAAAATAGCCTGTTCTTACAACTGAGGCTCTTTTCTTACCACCTAAATGTTTAAGAGGTGCAGAAAAATCACCAAATGTGTATGGGGCCTGGAAGCAATTTGACGTTTAAGGCATCCTTCCACAGGATTGAAAGCACCCAAGGCACTATGGCTTTAGAGAATGAACTTACCAACTAAGGTAACCAACTGCATATTAGAGGTCATTTTGGGGGGCCTCTTGGGGGTAAATTAATAAAGAAAATAAGAAAGATGTTGCTCCTCCAACTGTTTTTTTAGGAGTGGAAATTTCAGAAGGTATATATTTGAAGGCTGCCAACTGACCCAGTCTGGCTTGTTCTTGTGTCTTTAACTGATATTTGATCCTCAGAATGATAACTCTTTTCCTATATAGCAACAAGAATCTAGCCAAAGGCCAATTTTCTATATATAGTTGTTGGGTTCACACATCAGGCTAAGTCACGAACTATGGAATATGAATCACAATGGCTAGATTCATCCAACCTACCCCTTGACTTGAACGTATGTTCGCTCCAAGACTCATTGATATAAATGGGACTTACTTAGCTTAGTTCTGTAATTACCAAATTTGCTCCAATCTTATACACTGCCCAAGCTGGAGGTCTGTTAAATTTTGTAAGCTATAGACAAAAAACAGGGAAAGTGGGTTGAAACGGAGTCCAGTTTAACTTAACCAGGTTTGGGAAGATGGTTGAGCCGTTTCTCTATTTTTGTTGCTTTCTCTCTGTATGAAAGAGGGAGAGCATTAAGAGATGTAAACTGCAATAGTGGCCATTTTCAGGGCTGAAACTTGAGGATATAACAATTAGGGGTGGAGTGGAGGAACCTTTTAGAATAAAAGCATTACCAATACCTGGTTCCTGTTTCTGCCACTTCTTATAACATGCTAACCCGATTGCAAATTAACAAAACATGACCGTTTGGTTATAGAACATGCTAGGACCAAGCAGGTCCTAACCTGGCTTCACACAGTCTTTTGGTTCACACAGCATGCTCTGACATAACATGTGGAATCACAAACCATCCAACTCCTTCAACCTAGTCTATGCAAATCCAGCCAAAATGCCTTCCTGGGTGTGATTCCAATATAAAACTACTTCTGAAATGAGTTTTCAAAGAAAAATGCAAGAGGCACAGCCTGGATCTGTTTATTTGAACTTTGATCCAATGGGAACAATACCTTCATCTGCTCAGAAGCTTTCTTTGCTCCCTTACTGAGAGAAAATCACAGAGACTCAAAGATTCCAAAGGCGGAGTCGTGCTCAGAGGCAGTTCGCACAGACTGCCTGCTCTTAACTCAGGTTGAGGAAACCTCTGGTGGTCTTCTGCATCCCAAGAAATGGCACTGGAGATGGTTATTTCAAAACAGTAAGTGCAGTGGCCAAGATGGGATTGCTCCCACGAAGCTTGGTAAATCACAGTAGACAATCCTTTGCGATATCCAGATTTTGTGAAGGTGCCTAAATTGTGTGCAAGTTAGATGGGCTGCGCTTTTGGACATCAGTATGCAGGAATGAGTGGAGAAGACCTAATTCTCTCCATGCCAGGAAAATCTGTTTCTGCGTATGAGGTTTCCAGATCAAGTTGTGCCTAAATGCAGAAAGCTCAAACTTGGTGATTGCTTGTGATCAGCTGACAATCACCCGTGAGTGGCTGTGGGTATACATTCGGGTTTTCCTTAAAGGGTTTGAAGGGTCTAGAGAACAGAACATCCAATAATGCATAATACTTCTGACTACATTCATGCATCTCTCTTACCTGATCGACCATCTGCTTGCGGTGTGTGTGCATGCGCGCATGAGCACATTTGCTACTATCTTCCTAACTCTAAATCATTTGCATCATTTAAGAAAGCATTTGCATAGAAAAATTCATCAAATCAAGTATCCCTCTGATGCATAAAGTTGCCACTGCATTAACAAAACTGGGCATGTAACACCATATTTGGTTGGCCTCTCTTCCTCAAACTTCTTGAGCTTTCCAATCATGCAACTTTCCCCTTTTTTACAGGCCAGGCTTGCCATTCAGTTTTTGCTCGGTTGCTGCTTTTCTTTCCCCCTGCCAAAGAAACCTTTTCAAAATCAATGTCCTGGGAGCCAAAATGGTTGCTCAGAAAAAGTTGAAGCGGAATTCCTCTTGCGATGGCCTGAATGCAAAACAGCAAGGGTCAGCTGCTCTGAGACAAACTGAGGAAGTGTGGGGTTGAAGGAAAGGTTCTTGGAGGCTCTGGCCCCTTCTGGCTCCTTCTGCAGACTTCCTGAATGCCTGACCTCTCTTCTTCTGGGTCTCTTCAGTCACTTCTGCGATGCGAGCTGCTTTTGAGGCTTAGAGGGGTGGAAGGATAGAGATGAAAGATCAATGCAAAAACCTCAAAAGGCCAACATTCACTGTGTTCTGTCTACCTTTTTTTCCTGAACCGTCTTGCTAGCTCAAGTGGGAAAAGGAGTTAGAATCTGAAAGCAGAGAATAAGCTGGAAGGCAGCTTCTCGGTGCCTTTTCTCCCTGGAAACACCATATTAAATAGTTCCATCTTCCAGGCAGACATCAGTGCCATTGCGAGATTAGCAGCCGTTACATATTCCCCACTATTTGCCCCTTTTAAAGAGGGAGTGAAGAAGTCTACCATCTTTAACAGGCAGGAAAGCTAAGCCTCAACAATGAGCAGGAAGAAAAAGGAATGGTGGTTGCAAAGTAAACAGAATTGATTATCTACAGTCTGGCCTGGCCCGATACATTTTATGGTACAATATTTTGTTCCTTGGCCTCCTGTGGATTAGGATTTATTTATTTCACTTTTGAGGCTGCCCAACTCCTTAACAGCTGACAAATTAAAAAAGGAGGAAAAGGCCCACATACAACGGACTGGAAGATAACACACTACCAATAATCCCCGCCCCCCCCATCCCTTGTGAAATCTATACTTCATTTAGGCAACACCTTCAAAATCTGTATTAGTTATTACAAACACTGAGGGGCTAAAACATACACATGCACCAAAGTATATTAAATTGGCAACTGCAAAGATTCGTAAGGACAAAATTCTTCTCCTCCAACTTTTCTCCAGTAATAAGAATCCTGGGACATAGCTGGGCTAAGAGAAAGTGGCTTGACTGTTATCATTCTCTGGACTTCTCTGGACAAGGATAGACCTAAATCTGGGTCTACATGCTCCTAGTTCAACAACCAAATTCCTGCACCACATTTTCCAGCTGACAAGAATGATGGCTTGCAATTTCAGAAAAAGAAAACTACTTTCACGCTCATTTCACCCAGTCAAGTGAAGATCCAGCAGGTACATTCTTGCAACTGAATTTGGCTAGTATTACTCATGGTAGTGTCGGGCCCAGTCAAGTATAATTCCTTTATTTGCTTACGCCTCAAAGATAGAATCTCGCCCAACTAAATCTATACTACAGCAACTAGTGAATCTACCCTGGGAGATTCTAAGGAGTGGCTACCCTGAATCTCTCTCTCCTCTCACGCTCCCCCTGCGGACTATGCTGCCTCCTGCCTCCTCTCCCCTCCTGGAATGCACCCCCTCCTTCCCGAGAGCCTTGATCTTCCACATCACTCTCCTCCTCGTAGTACCTTCCCTCACAGATAGGGATTTTTCTTGGGGCGTGGTTTAACGCAAACCTGTAAAAATGGACAAATGCAGGAACTGCATTAAGCAGCCAATGAACGAAGGTGGGAAGCAACAGGACAGAGAAGAAGGAAGCAGAGGAGGAGACTTTAACAAGCGGCAGTTTCATCGCTCCCTCAGCAACATCCTGCATCCTGCAGCAACTCCAACCCTGGATAATGAAAAGTGGGAAAGACCTTGGGAGACGGGGCCAAGAGATGCTGCCAAAGGAACGGTCAGATAAGGGACAGCACAGCCCACAGCTGGACAGTGGGTGAGGCAAGAGGCTCAGAAGGGAACCTCCCTAGTTTCTTGGGCTGTAAAGGAGATGGGGGGAGAACTGTACTTTCAGACTTGCAAGATTCTGTTAATGTAGCTTTACAATAAAGTAGAATTAGCTCATGATTCCTATCTGCTTTACTGGGTGAGGCCAACACCTCGTTCCAACTTGTAACCCTGAGAGCAAGCCCCTTTCCCCCTACCTGCTTGCAAGAGCTTCAGCTGCTTCTGCCTTTCCTCTGCCATTTTGGCTCTGTAGTCACCGAACATGATCCGCATCACTTGACGTTTCTTTGCCAACACTGCTTTTTTGCTGCGCAACGTTTTGATGGCACGGAGAGCCTCTTCCACTGAAAGGAGCCAAGGACATCATGACATTTATCATTTCAGTAGGATGGGCAGCAAAAGTATGTACTCTTGTTCAGATTTCATGTAGTCACTTTTCCCCAAATAACTCATTCCATTCTATTCCTCAATCAGCAAACATTCCCTCTTAAGGACTGGTCATCCTTCTTCAAGCTTGCTCATAATCTCCCCCTTTGGGTGTGGATGGTTTCCTTTCAGCCTTACTGACTACACGGTTCAAGAAGTCATTTATTGTAATGGACGGAAGAAGTAACCTTGAGGAACGGAAGGAAGAGCTTCTATGAAGACAACCATCAGATAAAAGAAATTTGAGTCCAAGGCAGAACTGTAATCCAAATAAGCATCTCAAAAGTCCCCCCCCCTTTATTTTACATTTATACATATTTAGGCATGCTAAGGGTTATGGAAAATTAAATATGACATACATTTAAAAAACCCACTAAATAAATAAATTAATGCAGCAGACCTATTTTCTCTCCAAAATAAAATTCATAAGGGAAGAAGTTTGATGAAGTTGTCATTGCTCACTATCTGCTTTTGGAGTTGCCACTGGTGATCTCAATGTCATGATATTACTGGAATATGCCCTGCATTTCTCAGTCTCTTTGAGAGGATGTTGTCAATCCTGGAAGGAACACCTTCGAAATAATAAATGAGCCATAACTGTTCCATTGTTCAGTCAAGGTCAATGAAAGGATGAGGGTAAGTGATTGGGAAAGACTACAACCACAAAACAGGAAGGAATGCAGGAACCATAGGTGCCCAGATGTTTGTTGTTCTTTTCCTTCTGGGCAGGAACTGTCAGACACTAGAACAAAATTAGGAACCTGTGACTTTCCAGATACGGTTAGAATGGATTATTTTGGGAAAAGTCACATACGTAGTTTCATATACTCCACCAGTATGGCCAATGTTTGAGGATGATGGAACTTGGAGGACCCAAGGTCCTCATCCCTACTCAGGAGGGCTCTCCACATGAGAAATGATACTCTTCTTCCCAAAATTCTGGCTTGTTTCTTCTCCCTCTGCTCTAAAATATCAGGAATGGAGTGACTTGGACAACCAGTCAAATGAAAGGTAACGTCTCCATCAAGTCAGATTTGACTCTTGGTGACTAATGTAGTTTTCTTTCCTGGCACCAGTATGGATGTGGTTGGCCACTGCCATGATCCAGTACGTCTTTTTTTTAATCTTCCCAGTCTAGCCTACAGCCTGGAGTTTTCCCATCCAAATACTGATTAGGCCTAACTCCGCTTATCTTTTCTGAGATAATCCAAGGTTGGTTGACTGCTGCCACCTGCTGACTTCTATAAGGCTCCTTGCTAATGGAGGATCACTCATCACCTTAGCATAAATTATTGATCTCCATTGGATAGTCCCAGCCCTGAAATCCATGTGCCCTCCCCCACCCTGTTGGGGTTCTGTAAAACCCTGAAGACCTGTTTGTTCTCTTGGGCTTTGGGTTGAGTTGGACGGGGCCTTATGCTGGGTGGGCCCTTGTTATTTTTGTGTATGTCTGCATACAGTGACTGGATCCCATCTTGTTTTGATTTCTATTGGATTTTTTTTTATAGGGTATTATATTGTGACCTGCCCAACTCAGTTGGAGTTGGGAGGGGCAGGTGCCTAAAGTGAATTAATTAAATAAATAAATGATACCAAGCAAGTTGACTCACTCTGTTTGGGGGTGGATTTCTGAGTCTTCAGGCCAAGTTCCAGCTGTTCCACACACCAGTCTACCTCTCTCTTCAATTGATCATCTGGCTGTTACATTCAGGAGAAGGGGAAACATACAGAGGAAATGAGAATTAGCTGAAGATGCCATTGCAAGATAACTACTCCTAGCATCTTGTTTCAATCTCTAAGTTATCTCACGGCAGACTTCTCTAACTCAGTGTTTCTCAACTTTGGCTGGAAAATTCTGGGAGTTGAAGTCCTCACATCTTAAAGCTGCCAAGGTTGAAAAATGCTGCTCTAACTGACGCACAATATCTTAAATGGAAACGTAAATACAATGGTAAAATAGAGTACAAAAGTTTTTTTTTTTTTAAGTTTAAAACTCAAGGATCCAAAGGGAATGCCAATCATGAACAATCACACTGTTGAAAAAGAAAAACTAAAAATCATGCAGGGGCTTCAAAAAGCAGAGACCAGTTGACTCAATATCAATTCCCAGAATATATTAAAATGTTGTTAAAAGACCCTGTCTTATACTAGAAAGACATCAACATGGAGGTTCTTGACATCCCACTCTAGGGAGAAAATTTCACAATTGGGGGTAAATCAATGAAAAGTCTCTTGCTTTCATAGCTACATTTCAGTCTAAATGGTAAGAGGTACAGGCTTGGTTCAGGCATCATGCTAAACCATCATTTCCTAACCACATTCTGTAGGGTGAACCTACAACTGGGTTCAGACTACCTGCCAAGACATAGACTTTGGTTTATAACTCACAATGGCTCAGTTCACACAACCCACTAATCTAAAACCAAAGAAACCACATGATGGCTTAGCTCAGTGTTGTCCAACCCCAAGCACTGAATTCAAACAGTGAAAAAGGGAGACTCCAGACTGGAACATCAGGAGACCTTCAGGCAAGTCACAACCATAGTGGCACCTTGATTTTCCATCCTGAATGATCTACTGATAAACATAGAGACTTAATAGGAGTGCAAATGAATACTTCTGCATCACTGCCTACCACACTTTCTGTCAGAGCTACCAATCTATAACCCACTCATTGTCTTATCCTTATTCAACATGGTCTTTACATGCCTGTAACATCTCAGCTTGATCAGATGTTCCTTGGCCACAAGACTTGTTGTCTCCACTTCCTTTGTCAACGTGCGCTATTTTTGACAGCGGTGGCTTCTTTTTCTTTTTTCTCTTAGATGGTTCACCAGCTGCCACAATCAATTTCTCTTCTGTAACTTCTGTTGGAGCTGTGCACCAATTTTTTTTTTATTTAATCATTTGCTTTTTTTAATCAATAACATTAGATTTATATTAGTTTGCATATCTGAAAATTCTTTACCAAGGGAGAATTATTTTTTATTCTGTAAAATTATCATTCTATAATTAATGCATTACAGGTAGTCCTCACTGAACAATCACTCATTCAGGAACTGTTCAAAGTTATGACAGCGCTGAACTAGGGGTACTTATAATGGCTCCTCATAGTTGCAGCCCTTGCAGGGTCCCCGTGGTTATGTGATCGCAATTCGAGCCCTTGGCAATCAGCTCACAATTATGACACTGCAGCATCCTGCAGTCATGTGATCACCATGTGCGACCTTCACTGCTAGCTTCCAATAAGCAAAATCCATGGGGAAGCTGGCAGGAGTTCACAAATGATCAAGTAACCATGGGACACTGCAGCTGCACAGGATTCACCTAACGACAGCAATGGGGACTGCTGCAATTGCTGTCATAAGTTGGCACAGTCATATGATGCTGCACTTTATGACCACATTGCTTAGCAATGGAATTGCCGGTTGCAATTACCATAGTTAAGCAAGGACTACCGGTATTAAACTCTACAGAACAGAAATAAAAGCCAATTCTAGTAATAAATGAATTAGTATTGGAATTAGTTGACAACTTGTATAAGATCAATAGGTGTATCTTTCTTTCCAAGACTTAATTAAAACTGAGTGGTCTCCGTACCTACTTGGGTTGCTTCCAATCTCGGTACCTCTTGTATAGGACATTCTTCACCTTGTCTGCCTACACAATCCGTCACATCAGTTCTATCAGGTTTTGAAAAGGCTGATCTCTCTGCTGTCACCGTTCCCTTCTTGGATGGGACATCTATCTCTGGAGCTGCTTCTGCTGCAGCTGCAGCTCCAAAGCCAGAATCTATGGCAACAGCTGAAAGTGAGGGAACATCTGGGATGATGAAGTTGAAGGCAAAGTCAGACTTCTGAGTTCCAGTGGAGAAGTCCAGAATCCCAGAGGGACCATTACCAGTGGACTGTTCTCTGGAGTCATCCAACCTATGTTCCTCTGCTGTGATTCTATCAGTTTCTTCTGTGGTTCTTTCAGGTAGAACAAAGTTAAATTGAAAGCTATTATCTGATGATGCAAGCAATGAAGTTGACGCTGCAGAAGGGCAGTTGGATTGCTTCCTGTACACCACGCTGCCCAAAGGAAGAACATTTCCTTGGTGTATTTCTACCTTCTCAGGCCTCACAGCTACAGGGCAGAAACAGAAACATTCTCATTAAATCACCAAAGCACACTCAACCCAGTGCACCAAATTACATACTCTTTAAATAAAGGAAACCCAAATTTTATATGCCGTATACATGAAACATTAAACTGTGGATGTTGTGGAATTTGGCTTGAGATTACAGAGGTCACTAAGGCTGACTGGATGTGTACTGTAGAGAAGAAGCTGCACTTGTCACAGTCTCCTAATCATGATCCCATCTCTGCCTGGCTGGTTGATGCTTCTCCAATGACTTGGTTACTTGCCTGCTTCTCTAGCCATATCTAATGGAAGATCAAGCTCAGATCTTAACAACAGCAAAAACAATAGCAAAAAACAGAGGCTTCAGCAGATAGCAGAAACAAGCAACAGCCTTACAGAGAAGGGTATATTCCTGGCAGATTATCATGAGCTAACCTGCTCCATTTCTTTGGGCCACATCCCTAACTTCTAGTGGAGTGGCTAGATCTCAAAGAAGACAGGGCTCAGGGTCAATTAAGGCAAGTCTACAGTAGAATGGTTATTTCATCAAAGGAAAACTGAAGGGTCACTTTGACCCAAGTAATTTTCATACATTTTCTTGGCTGGACAGCAGTCTCAACAACATCCATCATTGCTCCCCGATGCTTCACTGTTCATTAAAGGAACAGAATTCTGCACTCCTCTTTTGCAGTTGGCCACCTTTGCTTAGTCTTGTCTGACCTGGTGCATTTCCAGTTGTTGAGCTAAGATCCCTCATCACCAGCCAGCACGGCCAAAAGGCAACAAAAATGGAAGCTGTAATCCATAATATCTGGAAGGCTTCAAGTTGCAGAAGGCTGCCCCAGCTGACTCTGCAGCAGCTGCCAGTGACATCTAAATATCATGATAAACTGGATGACAGCGTTGCGGTATGTGCCTGTTTCATCCTGGAGTATCTATAACTTGGCGTTTTGTTTAGGGGTAATTCTGTTTGGATCTAGGGCAAAGGTGAGCAACTTCCTCACAACCTCTTCTTCTGTCTGCAGAGATCCTGTATGAGTGATCTGTCCTCAAGCAAAAGCAACCTTTCTCTGTCCTCACAGCACACCAGATAAAAAGAAAGAGGGAGGGAGAGCAAAAAAGCAAGACATTTCAGGGAAGGATCGCTGACATGCAGAATGGCATTACAAACCCATTCAGGCTGTGGCTGTAGTGGGAAAGAACAAAAAGACATATACATAAGGATGAAAGAATTGGAGGAAGTAGCATGAGTAAGTGACTGATGAAAAAGACAGGATTTGCCACCTCACCTGCTTTTGCTGCTCTCTCATTTTCTTCAGCCATTTTGAGACGGTAATCTCCAAAGACATGGTTCATCATCTGCCGTTTCTTCACAAGGGGAGCTTTACGTGAGCGCAATACTCTAAGGATACGCTGTGTTTCCTCTGCTGCTCTCAGGAACCAGATATGAAGAATGTAAAAAGTTACTCATGAATCCCTGGCTTTATTGTGCTGCAGTTCGTTTTTGCAATACATTCAGTCTGCAGAACGCTTTACAGTCCTCCTTTCTTTTTCTTTTAGAGTGTCCTAGATCTCTAAATAGTAGACCCATGTTAAGCAGTCTAGACTTTGAGGTATTATGCTCTGAAGCAGAGTTCATGAACATATTGGCATATGACTGTAAGTCCCATTCATGTAGCTCTGCAGTTTTACCGAAACAGAAACATATGGTAGAACATCCCTTCTGAATGATTGCTTAATTGATGTTGCTGGGGCAGGAAAAAAGTCAAAGAAAGGGCACTCTAGCTCTGAATTGTAAGAGATAAGGCATGGGTGTTCATCACAAATCAAGATTAGATCAAAATGACAACATACGCAGTAACATCATGATGCAAATCCTGCCGCTGTGTACTTGTGTCTTGACATCTGATGCAAGTATGTAAAGCAGTGTTTCTCAATCTTGGGAACTTTAAGATGTGTGGTCTTCAACTCCCAGGATTCCCAAGCCAGCATGGGTAGCTGGGGAATCCCGGGACTTGAAGTCCACAGGTCTTAAAGTCCCCAAGGTTGAGAAACACTGATATAAAACATGCTTTTTGCATTATGATGCACCTTTCATCAGTCCCTCAACCACGTGGATACCTGTGGGACCAGGCCTTGTTTTCTGTCCTTCCCAAGCTTTGAAATGAAGAGTGGAACAAAAGATATTTCCCTGACTCTGCATTTTAAAAAAATACCATGAGATTGGAACCAAGACCTAATCTTTGGTGCACTGAAAGTGTCTGGTAATAACAAATTTGGTTGACCAGCAAAACTAACCAAAACATATTAACTTTCTGGAACCAGTTGTTGAACATTTAGAATTAAGCTGTATAAAGAAAAAGTTAAAACAACATACCTTGTTTTGGAGTTGGGTTGAGACGCAAAAGGCCAGTCTCCAGTTGAGTGATGCACCATTCCAGTTCATCCTGAAATGTTGGTTTGGGAGCCTGGCTCAGTGGGAAAAGTACAGCAAAATTAAGGGCTGCTCTTTTTAAAAAGATGTCTGCACATGCCTGTGTGCAAAACCTTTAAATCCCAGCGGTGTTGTGACAAAATTTCTGTCCTTGCTAAAATTCCCTGTCTTACACAGTAATTAAAGTCACAGTAATTAAAGTTACAGGAGTCTTAATGTTTATTTAGTTTTTTTTTTTTAATTTCTGGGCCTTTTATATTGCTTCAGTCTTAACCAACTCAAAGCAGTTAACTAGATCTGTTGCTACAAAGAACATACTTCTTACCTCTTCCATTAAGAAAGTTTGCAATAAGTGTTCACATAAAATCTTCAGATATTTTCTTTCTCAATCACCTAGAAACACAAGGTGACACATGAACATTTACATTTACCATGAAATCTAGGATATCTTTATTCAAAGGCCCAATTGTGTTTGCTACATAACTGATAAGCATTTGTAGGAGTGACACTTTCTACATTGTTATAGGTATCTTTACAGGCCTAAATAAAAATCTAGTCAGTCATTCATTCATTCATATACATATATATTTTCTCATTTTTTTGCAAGAAAACGGTGTTTATTCTTAAAGCAAACACATTTTGCCCCTGGGCAATGTCATGCCTCTATCTGCAATGCTCTTTAAGGTTGTTAACATGCAAAACTACCCGTGCTCTGCTTTAAAATTAATCAGGGTTTGCAAACAAAATTCCTAAAG